TGGACGTTGAATGAAACGTTACAAGCACAGGTATGTAATGGACTTGTGTATTAGTTTTATGTGGCTTTATGTAGAGTGCAATTTACAAACAAGACTTTGAAGCTGAAAGGAATGACAGGCAAAGAATACATGCTGAATATGAGGAACTGAAAACCAAAACAAGAATGCAAAATAAAGCTGATAAAGAAGCAATGGCTGAGCTTGGAGAGGTATTAATATTACATTATGAGTGTAACAATTCAGTTATATGTGCATGATAGATAATAAAGACCCAACAGGAAGAGATAAGAGTTTAAAAGGACAGCTTGATGCTTCCATTAGTCAGAATCAAGAGGATAGAATGCAAGCACTAAGAGACCAGGTTAGTCCTTACAGCCATGAAATTGATAAATTTACGCATGAGCAACTTTGCTTGTATCTATAGGTCCAAGAGTTACAAATGAAGTTTTCAAAAGAAGTAAAAATTGAAATGTACATTGTATCTACTTTGATCCTGCCTATATTATAGAAAGAAAGTCTTCTGAAGGCTTACCATCAAGAAAAAACAAGAGCTAATAGACTAGAGGAACAAATTGAACTAATGAAAGAAGCTAATAATGTAAGAGTTACATACAATGATCATATTAACTTTACAGTTTATGATTAGATACAAACTCGCTCAAGGAGAAGCTATTCTTATTCCTCGTCTCATCATTATGATTCCTTTCCATCTGACTCTGATTCTTTTTCTCCTCCTCCATTTGCCCATCAATCAGTCGGTGATTCTTCATATTTTCCTTTTAATCCGACCCCCTCACCCTCTCCTCACATCAGCGAAAGAAGAAATAAACCAAGAATAGTAAAAGATGTTACCAGCCGAAATCATGATTATACCACCAGCATTCCTTCTCACATACGACCACATCTCAGTAGAGAAGAAATGTATAGAAGATTTGGAGGAGGTCAAATGAGAAGAGAAGAGCATGAAAGACCAAGAGTGTCACCAGCATATACTAGCAGTATACCTGATTCTGTTCAACCTCAGCTCAGTGAAGAGGAAATGAAAAGCCGTTTCAAACCAAGAGTCTCACCAGCATATACCAGTAGTATACCTGATTCTGTTCAACCTCAAGTTAGCGAAGAGGAAATGAAAAGGCGTTTTAAGAACCACCAGCAGCCATACAACCAGTACAGGAGGGAGGACAGTGAGGAGCACTGGAGAGTTAATGAAGAGACGGACCAAGCTTTGCTTGAAGTTGATCGTATTAGAAAGCAAAATCCCATTCATCCTTAAACAACACATTAATGGGAATGAATAAATTTAGTGTGATGATAAATGTAGACCTGTAATATTGCTAGAATGCAAATCTACATGTACATATACATCTTTTTGATACTACTGCAATTTTAATTTGCTTTTATAATAAGAGCCTGGCACACCTTTTCTGTGACACACCTCCTGTATTT